ATGCGGGACTCGATCCCAGGACCCTGGGATCATGACCTGAGCCGAAGGCAGACGCTTAACCATCTGAGCCACCCAGGCGCCCTCTAATGCCTTTTCTATTAATTTTTTCTTGATGAATATAGAGCCAGTTTATCTAACCTCATCTCTCCAGTTACCCTTTGTTTTGCCTTCTTCACTTCCTTATCTTAAAACAATTACAAATAAATAGGATGAATAGAGCACCTCACATGTAACTGCATTAATCCCCTTTACAATGTGAGTTCTTCAACTTAAATTTTGATACATTTCCCACTTACTCCTTAAAGTCTAATCCACTTTAACTTCTATTCATTGTTTTTCACAGAATGTGCTAGAGAAGTAAATAGCCTCCTTTTTGCTTTCATTTGGAGCCATACTGTTCATTATTTGTGTATACTTCTCTCTCCCTCGGTTTCCATCCCTCTTATTTCCGTCTCTCACAGATTTCAGTAATTGACCCTGTGATCTTACTGCTGGAAAAGCTCCTTCTTAATATCCTTGTCCACTCTTCGAGATGTTGACCTTGAGCCAGGCCAGTGAACCTCATCAGTGCACAGAGGAATAGTTTTGAATTCTCTGTTCAGCTGGGTTCCATCATTACCACAGGTTGGCACTCTGGGTGTCCTGAAATGTGTTAGAAAAGTGGAGTCAGCAGTCCAGTAAACATCTACCTGGCAAACTGAGCAGCCACTCTGTTTGCATACATCTCTTAAGCACATCCTCTCTTTCGGCGAGAAATGCCACAGCCAGATCCTTTTGATCTTCATTGGGAATTTTGGTTAGGTAATCATTTATTCATTCTCTCATTCTTTTTCTGCTGTTTACATTTTGCTAAAAATCCTTTCATCTGTTTTTCTTATCTTTTATTCCCTACTAGAAAAGTCATTATTATGAATGTGATGACCTCCCCTGCAATGTTTTTCTACATCCCGTCCATCTTTTAAGATACAACAGAAATGCAGTCTTTTCATAGAAAAGTTGGAAGGGATCTGAGAAGCTGTCTGGTCCATACCCTGAAGTTCTCTATGAACTTACTGGGCCTTATGCCCTGAGATCACATGATAAAGAGAATACCTTAGAGTAAGATCCTTGTAGTATTTTTGTAGCCAGAGCTGCATGGGTAAATGTGCAGGTGGTCATTGGAAGACAGCTTGTCAGGAACAATGTCAAATCAAGCCCTGGTGCATATACACACACACGCGCGCGCGCGCGCATATAAACAAAATCTTAAAATACATTTTAAGTTTATTTTTTATTTATTTATTTTTAAGTAATCTCTACATCCAGCATGGGGCTCGAACTCATGACCCCAAGATCAAGAGTTGTGTGCTCTTCTGACAAGCCAGCCCTGTGCCCCAAGCCTCGGTATTTTTAATTTTATTGTTTTGAAATGGTGTTGGTATATTTTTTACAAAATTTATTATTACTCTTATTCACTGAGTCATTTAACAAGAGTTTCTTCCATACCTTCTGTGTGCATAGTAATTCTGTGCTAGGTGCTTGGGGAATACGTGATCCCTGCCCTCAAGAAGTTTGAAGTCTAGTGAGAAGGAAAAGCTATTTACACATGAAGTTAAATAGTAACTCACAAACAATGTAGTGTGTATATCAGTTATTTATGAATATTGCAGTTATTTATGAATATAAATATATATAATATATAAATATATTATTATATTATATATATGTTATTTATGAATATTTCCTGTTTTCTTTATGTAACTTGTAGTATTGGTTAAAACAGCAGTTCCCAGATACAGTGACTGTGTAAAAATCAGAAATGCATCCAAAAGTGCATGTTATAATGGCTTCCATATAAATCTGTAGCCCTACCTGTGGAATTCCTAATTCAAAAGATAGAGATCAGGGTCCGTAAATCTTTATTTTTCAGAAGCTCCCTGGGTGATTCTTATGACTAACCAGTGCTGGGGATCACGGGCATATAAGTATGCCAGCCCCTAAGTTTACTTCCTCTTCATGCAAATCCAGCAACTTAGCTGTTAATATTTCTGTGTTATATGTGAGAAAACTGGAACCCAGAGGCTAAGTAACTTTTTCAAGTTACTTACTTAAACAAATAGGAAGTGGCAAAGCCAGAATTCTTCTCCTGGCTGGTCCTACCCCAAAGACTGTAGTCTTTCTACTCTCTCCCATTCTCCCATACTGTTGGCAGAAAGGAGCTGCTTCTGGAGCTTTGGGTATTGAGGAGGCTTTGTGTTCCCTTGTTCCTTTCCTCTTCTGTGTCAGCGATGGCCAGGGTTCAGGAAGGTTGCCAAGGCCTCTATATTAAAAGAAAATTTCTTTACAGGAAATCTGAAAGAAAATATAAAAATGAAGATAAGCTACCAATATTCTCACTTTCAGAGGAACTGCTGTTGTTAACATTTTGATGTATTTTTTCTAGATTCTATTTATATAGGTATATATATTTTAAATATTCTAAACATACCTCTTATGATGTTTTTTGTATGTACAAATAGTACGTAAATGCAATGTTTTGTTTTGTTTCCATATTTATTGTTCCTGCACTTTTACATTTCTTATTAAGGTTATTTCCAGATGTTTTGTATTTTGTGCTATCCTTGTAATTAGCATCTTCTTCCCCATAACTTTCTTACTGCTCTTGTGAGGAAATCTATTGTCTTTATATATCTGTTTTGTATCCAGTCACTCACTGAATCCTTATTAGTTCTAATATGCATTCCCATCTTCCTAATGCTATTGTATGTGTTTTCTCATAAGCCTGATGATAATTAAATTTCTAGGCTATTGTTTTTTCAGTTCTCTGTTTGTTGGGGATTTCCAACTGTTTATATTGGTTAGAACTTTTCAGCTGCAAATGACGTAGAGCAAGTGAAGTTGAAGAGCAGCTTGAAGTTGAGCAACTCAAGAGGTTCAGCTGTGCCTTATGAATGGCTTGGAACCAGGAGAAAAGGCTCTCATTACCAGCCCCGGTCTCATTTCTGCTTCTTTGTGCCCATTTGCTCTCTCTTTCCTCCTCTCTTCTGCCTCCCTATCCCCGCAGCTATTTTTTCTACTTCTCTTCCGTAGTTAATCATTTAACAAGGTTTTATTTAGCTCCTAAAATATGCAAGGACAGCTAGGCCCTTGTAGGCCTAGCAGATAAAGCAGTGAACGACAAAAGTCCCTGCCCTCATGGATCTTGTGGGGGAGAGAGAGAGTAAACAAACCCAGTATTGTCACAATGGGATAAGTGGCAAAGCAAAAAATGTATTCAGGTAAGGGGGATAAAGAATGCTAGGTAGGGAATTTTGCTATTTTTTATATGGCGATCAGGGAAGGCCTCATTGGGAAGGTGATGCTTGAGAAGAGTTCTGAAGGAATGAGCCAGAGAGATACTGCAAAATGGGTGTCCTAAGATGAAGGAGAGTGAAGGTTCTGTGATGCAAGTTTGCCTGATGTATCCAAAGAATAGCAAGGAAGGATGTTTATTGACTAGAGTAGAAAAGGAGAAGGGTGGGCTCAGAGAGGTGGCGAGAGAGCTGATCATGGAGGATCTTG